ACATTAATCCAGTTTGACTGAATTCCATTTGTAACAACCCTCTTCTTTCTTCCATCTAGCCACTCTTCTATCCAATTTGCTAACCAATCCCCCACACCTATAGAGCTAATTTGTTTTACAAGCCTCTTATGTGGCACCTTGTCAAATGTTTCTGAAAATCCAGATACACCAAATCTGTCCCCTTACCCTCATCTACATAAGCAGTAACCTTTTGAAAGAACATTAAAAGATTTGTAAGGCAAGATTTTCCCTTAGTGAAACCATGTTGACTATCCAATAAAATTCTAAAATTTGTTAAATGACTTTGTAAAGCATCTTTTAACAGACTTTCCAAAATGTTTCCCACAACTGATGTAAGACTAATGGGTCTATAATTACTGGGATAATTTTTATCACCTCCCTCGAAAAGAGGAGTTACATTAGCTAACTTCCAATACTCTGGTACCTGCCCACTATTCAAGGACTGACAAAAAATAGTAGCAAGTGGCTCACATATCCAATCTTTAAACTCCTTCAAAACTCTTGGGGAAATATTATCTGGCCCAGGAGCCTTATCATTCTTTAAACTTCCCTATTTTCTCTTGACCAGCTCAGAATTAATCCAGTCATCTTGTTTGATTTCGTTTCCATTTATTAACTAATCAAGATGTGGAATACCAATACTGTTTAAATCTTCATTAGTAAAAATTGAAGAAAAAGTAAAATTTAATAACCCAGCCATCTCGTAATCATCAGATACTAGCCTTCCTTTATCATCCCTCAAGGGTCCTATCCCTATCCTAACATTTTGTTTACCCTTAATGTATTTAAAGAAATCCTTACTGTTGTTTTTACATTTTCAGCCAACTTTTTCTCATACATCCTACTTGATGTCCTAATTTCCTGTTTCACCAACTTTCTTGATCTAAGTTTCCTGTCATACCAGTCATTTTATTTCTTAAACTCTTTGTGAGTCAACCTGGTTTTTTACTTGTAACTACCCTTTTCTTTTTATTAGGAATATGTTTACATTGAATATTTAAAATTTATCTTTAAAAATTTTACACATCTGATCAGTGCCTCCAAATAACTCAGTTGCCTAATTCACAACAGGCAGCTCTTGTCACATCCCTTCAAAATTTGTAACCAAAATATCATTATTCCTTATCTCCATATGCAGCAAAACACTGAACCTAATAGAGCAATGATCACTTGCACCCAGATGTTCCCCAATTTCCTCCCTCTCAATCATTTCTGTATTTTAAGTTAACAATAAGTCTAAAATAGCATTGTTTCTAGTTGGTTCCTTGACTAACTGGTAGAGAAAGCCATCCTGAACAGTTTCCAAAACCTTTCTCCCTCATGGTTTGATTCTAGAATTTTCCAATCTATATCCCTGAAATTAAAAATCACCCATAATTATGACTTCATTAACAGCTGAAATCTTAATCTCATTGTAAAGTTTCTCACTAATTTTATCAGTATCATCTGGTGGTCTGTAACAAATCCCCACTAAAAGCTTTGTCCCTTTATATCCACTAATATCTTTGATATCCTCAACTTCAACAGGATGTAACTCACATTTTACATATAAAGCCACTCCTCCTCCCCTCTTTAATACTCTATCCCTATTAAATAGCCTGTAACCCTGTATTTTAAAAAAAATTCTGTTATCAAAATAATCTATATTTAACCATGTTTCAGTTATTCCCATTATATCAAAATCTTCCATTCCTACCAGTGCTCTAAAGTCATCTATTTTATTTCTTATACTTCTAGCATTACAATATTAACAATTAAGCCTATCCTTATAACTTCTTCTATACTAATTTCCTATGCTAAACTTTTCTCTGCCTCTTATCCTTTTTGCATTTAGTTTATCCTGGCCCTCACCACTGTCTACTCCAAGTGTAAAACATCCCTTACAGCTGAGTTAATAGCCCTTTCAAACAAGCCAGCCTTATCCTATTTAAATGTAAACCATCGATTGAAAAATCTCCTTCTTCCATTGAACAAGTCTAACAAGCCAATCTGCTCATCCTTGCATACTAACCTAAGCCTAGCATTTAACCCTAATAACCTACTTATAACTTCATCCCCACAGTTAATTCTGGGCAGTATCTCTGATAAAATTAAGTTATGGCCATTTTCTCGAAATGTCTTTATCAACCCCTTATCCTTAATAATTAACTCTTCTGACCGACCTTTCCCTACATCATTATCCCTTACATGCACTACAAAAACTGCATCTCTTGCTCTGTCAGTTACATCCTCCACCTGTGCCCCTGGGTAGCATAATCTGATTCTTTTCTCCCTATTTTCCCCACAGACTATTCTTTCCACATGCCTTATCAAGGAATCATCTATAACTATAACTTCCTTATCATCCACATCCTTCTCTGATCCTTTGGTTTTTCTTCCCTACAATACTTTCCCATCTGCAGAAGCCAAGAAACATGATCTATAGGTTTTGTTACTTCTTTAATAGCTTTTTATTAGATGCTTTTGTAGAAATATATGCTAAATTAATTTATTTGTGATTTTTTATATTATTATCATCACTGTTTCTTGTATATCATAACTAATTTCCCAACAATGTTGAAAGAGATTTGATTGGTCTGTGATTTTTTCAAATTACTTGAAATCCTGACATTGCTTCATTATTATTAAGTTACTTTCTAACTACTCCATCAGGTTACAGAGAGCTATGATCAGATACAGTATAACCACGTAATATTTCAACTTATTCGCTTTGTGACTGCTGATGTATCATCATATTATTGTCATTTAATAAAGCACAGGTAAGGTTACCTCATCACTGGGAAAATGTATTTCTGATATTAATGTTTCAAAAACATTGATACTAAAGCTGCCTGGTTGTTATGTGTTATTTGTATCTTCCAGATTATTATAGTACTGGAATTTTCCTTTTAGTGATTGGCTAAGATGCATGTGTATATGTGATTTAATCTGTTCATACTGAACATAAGTTAATGAGTAGCACTTTCATTTTCTTTTTTAAATTGTTGAAAACAAAGTGGATTGTTGTAATGGCTGTGAATTTCCTTGTAATTATTGATGTTTTTGTTCATTGTTTGATGATCAAAATAGTATTATTAACAATTTCTGATTTAAAAAAAGCTAACTATATCAATGAGAATTAAAAAGCAACTTATAAATTAAGTACATTAATCCTGTATTGTAAACTGGTCAGAAACACTTAATGTTATAAATCAACACTCATGAAAACTGAAACCTACAATGAGTATTGCAATGAATCATCATTTGGTTGAGTTGGATATCTTCAGTGTTCATGATGTTTTCAACTATTCATTATGTAAATGATCATCTTGGATTTACTTATCCAGCATACCCTTGTTTTATTTTAATTATGTAACACAGGTTAAATGTTAATACAGTTGAACTATATTACAATCTAACATGATATAACATGTATAAAATTTTGATATTAGAACATAATAACAGTACAAGTTTAATGAGGTAAACACTTTATATCATGGGACACTTCAAACATTTGGATGTTAAAGGTTTCTAAGTTTCTGTGTATGGAAAGTCACCCTGGATGTTGAAGGGTTGATGCTTATGTTTTAAACTACCTATGAAACATTCTACTTTAAATTACAAAATGACTTCATTGTAGTCATGGAAAATTCTTGAAAAAAATCATAATGCTTCAATATCAGAGTTAGAAATTTTAAAACCAAGTGTACGTAAATATATGTGTCCACTTCAGATTGTACTGTCATGAAAAAAATTCTGTGACAAGAAGAGCCTGTCAAACAACACTCTTTCACCTTCTGGATACTGTCTGTCGTCTGTTTGCGCCAGTGCTGCCTCATCTTGTTGAAGAAGTATTTCTCCATCACCCTGATTCTGAGCTTGGTAAGTTTTCTTTATAATAATCTAATATTAGGTAGGGAAAGGATGAACAAGACACAGCTTTTGAAATTAGGACATAAGCCTATGGCAAAAAAAATGCTGCCATGAAAGTCTGTTGAGACAAGACCACCATCTATATGTATATATGCAGATTGCTTGAGGAAAGCCCAAGAAAATGTATGTGTAAGTAACCTTATAAATCTGGTTTCCACTTCTAAGTTGTTACAGGTATTTTAATATTTCATAAGAACTACTGAAAAAAAAATGTATATATATATATATATATATGTGTGTGTGTGTGTGTGTGACAAACTCAGATGCTTGGCTTCTAGGGTCATCTGATATCTAAAATTAGGCAAGTGAGGTGTATGTATCATTAAATATTATAGTTATTTATCAGCAGATTTATATTTTATAAAATCTTAATCTTTAGTTATTCAGAGAAATAAAGAGAAAAATTTTAGAAGTGTGTTTTTTGATTTATTATGATAGTATTTTCTTTTGTTGTCACACTTGACATTTATCATAAAATATCAGGCTTTGCCATATGCCATCACTAAGTAACAAAGAAAAATTGTGTTGCAAGTGTATAGAATATGTTTTATAGCAAAAAATAAGTTAATAAATAGGCATTTTATCTAAGATGAATAAAATAGTCAAAGAGTTATTTAGGTTTCGCATATAACAAGTGTAACATTTCTGTATGCTAAGAGTTCAACTGTTATTGTTAATATTAGTACATGTTGAAAATACCCATGCAGGAATAAATCTGTATAGATGAAAATAATCATAAATCATAGAAATAATGTCTTTGCTTTGAAATATTAAAATTAAATCATCTATACATATAAGACAGAGTTGTCCATCTCTCTGTCTGTGTTGTTGTGAGGTACTAGCTGAACCAATTGCAATGAAGTTTGGTAGAAGAATTCAGTTGGACCCCCTCCTGTATGATCAATTTAAATGGATAATAAACTGGGTAAATAGTTTGAGTTTAAAAAATGTCATGAATGAAGACTAAACTAAGTGAGGAGTTGCCATCTTTGTAAATAGGTCATTAGCATTTTATCATTGTTTTCTTTTCTATTGAAATATATAATCTTTACATCTGAGCTTCTTCAGTGAACAAGTCCTTGACTTAAATATTTTAAAATACTCATGCTAGTTTGAATTGGGTATTTTTATTGTAAATGTTGCAGGATTTATTTTGCTTGTTGTTGGTGATATTTGGAATCTTACTTGAACCATTGTGACAGTTTTTAAGCATGATATATACTGAAGTGCTTGTTTTGAAACACTAACTTGTTTTGCTATACTTTTTTTTTTATGTTATTGTTGTCTTAATGATTTGGTTTTACATCCTGTCAGTGTTGCATTTTAGCAGTTATTTTTATGGTACTTTCATATAATTTCTACCTATATAACTGTTGGTTGTTCTAAATATTTTTGTCATTTACATCTCATATTTGCTCCTTGCTTGAATGTTATAGTGTAAATATATTTGTTTTATTTTTAATTACCAAATCATTCTAACATATTATTACACTAATTTTATTTTTTTACATACTTAACATGTTGGCAGTTTTTGGCACAGTAACTCATTAAAACATAAATTTCTCTCTTGTTATGGGTTGTTTAAGAAATGCTCATTCATTTACTATTTACAATCTCCTCAATCATAGCAAAAGTTTTCTACACTTTTTAACAAAGCTATTTGTTTTTTGTTTTATAATTGTAAACAACAGTTTTGTTAGCAATTTTGCTAAAAGCCATTCACCAGGGGCTTTGATTAGAAGCAATCCAAAGTGTATATTATAAAATTAACTGTTATGTCCAATATCAGTTTATTTCCTTTCAACAGGATACATGCTCTTTACAAAAGAAAATTCCAAGACTTTTCCAGGATTCTTGAATCCCGTCCCACAAGATTAAACTTCCATTTTTGTTCATCAAATGTAGAAATTGCAATAGTATCAGGTCTCATAAGGGGTGAAAACACTTGTAAACATTCCCAACCTCAGTAACCAAACTGTTTTATTTCTTTAATTTTTTAATTAATCCAATTATTTCATGGAGAATTTTTTGTATTGAAACTTAAAACCAGCAGTTTTTCTAGAATTTTGAGAACCTGTTTCAGTTATATTTGTTATTAGAACATGGGTATTTTTTATCAGGTATTTCAGAATTGCAGTTTTTACCCCTTTTATTTTTAGCACAAAAAGGAATTTTTAGGACAGGTTGGGTGAAGTGTTCAGAAGAATGGTATAATCCTGAAGTGAATAAAACCATGGAGCTTGCAACATCTGTTAGAAATGTTGTAAACAAAGCTGCAGTCAACTTAAATCCAAGGGAGTTAGATGTTCTTATTCACACATCAGGCTCCTTGCTGACAGAACTTAAGGTAAGAGACAATTGTAGTCCAACCAGTAATAGGCCTGTTATGTTTAGCCTTGCTGAATGAAATTTGTAGAAAACACTGCTTAATAATATTTAAAAAGAGAGTAATAACAGTAATTCATGAGCTTGGACTAAAATTTTTCACACAAAATAAAATAGGGCTCAAGCTATTTGATCAAATATAATTACATTTCTGTATTATGAAAAATTCCTGACTTATTTACTAAAGAATGATCAAATATCAATAACAAAGCTAAACCATAATTACATTAGCTTTAAAATTTTAGAAAATTATAGTTCTCTTATAGAATTTGCCAATTTATTCAAAATTGGTCCCCTCAAGGTGGATTCCTGTATGTGGTGAGGGGACCTCCCAGGGAAGGTTCTGTATTTTCGGTTACCTCCTCTGGGATCTGAACATCCACCCACATGTTTGCCATGTGTGGTGGTGACCTGTGAAGGGGAGGATCCTGGTGGTTAAGTGGTGTCTGGA